CAACTATGTTTGGATAATAAACATTTGTATCAGGTCAACTAAACAAGGGCATAGTAACAATATTTTTATACTACATTTATCCATTTTAAATATACTAACCTCAATCCTTTGTAACAACTATGGCAAAAATGTAATTAATTCCGAAAATCTTTTTCAGGACCCCACCTTGATGTTTCGGGACCCCACTTTGGGTCCCGACCCCAGCTTTGGGAAACAATGTTCTAGAGATTCTGCAGCAACATGCATTAATCACTATACATGATGAGCAAATAAAAACACAAAAAACTCCAATATCCAAATATGATGAATCACATACTGTACTGTCAGCAGACAAAGCTGTAAATAATCGCCAATAAGTAGTCAGACATTTATTTAAACATTATGCAGTCCCTGTAATACAGGGGTGTCAAACACATTTTCACCAAGGGAAACACGAGTGTTATGGTGACCTTCAAAAGGCCAGTTGTTATCAACTTTGATGTTTCGTCTTTAACTTTGACTCAACACAAAACCTCGTTCCTCGTCTCATTGCTACGACTGACCTCTGCTAACAAACAATAACTGAGCTCTATGGTTTTCCCTTCATGAAAACAGCATTTTAACACATCCTCTTATAAACACTAAACATATTTTGTTGCATTAGATGGGCGTGGCCCTAATTGGCAGGCCAGAAGGAAGCCACCTGCGGGCCACATTTGGCCCATGGGTCTTGAGTTTGATACATACTGTATTTTTTACATAATAATGATAATACATAATATAATGATAATTCCAGCTATTCAAATTAAATGCAGTGTAATTCACTTTTTATTGGATCCATTCAGCTCAGTTCATCCATGCATCCATTCTCTTTACTGTATGGAGAAGATTTGGTGGTCCAAATCTCCAACAGTTTTTGCACACAAATTGCATAGTCATTTTTTCATGTAACCTTACCTCTACACAGGAGCCATACATGTTGTGTCTATTTTTATCTTACAGTTTTCTTCAGAATTAATTTTCTTTTATGCAGTATAAGGTTTCTGAGTTTGGTTTTAAGTTTTTATGTTGTGTGATCCTGAGTTCTGGTTCTGGTTTTGTTATCTTGATTTTTTTTATTGTAAAACATTGTAGAACAGCTTTTTTATACATTCTTGGTGGTTTTTGTTATTTTGTCCAGTTGTTCACTTGAGTTTTAATTGTGTATTTTACCCATGTGACTGCAGACTCTGTTTTCCCTTCACCAATGCTGGGTTAATGTTAGTTGGTTCTGTCCTGTGGCGTCCACTGAACACTTTGCCCTGAAGCACCTTCAGTAATAAAACTTTTCCACTTTGTTCATTCTGACTGCATCTCTGTTTCCCTTTTTGTTCCTTTTTCCTAGGTATTGTGACATTTCATATTCTTAAAAACATAAATTAGCCCTAATTAGGTGCACATATTTGTTAGTTTCTTCACTGTAAATTCACAAATTGCACCTGACCCACTTCTGCTCTGCACCTGTAAGTTTCACTGAATATTTTGTAACAAATTCCTGCCATTGCTCCACATAGTCTTGCACCTTAAATCTGCTGATGCTCCACTGCCAAGACAACATATTCTAGTGTAGTTAGCTGCCGGAGCTAACGGTGGGCCCTGAAATCCCTCACAGTTAATATGCAGTGATGCGGAACAAGCTTACCAGTTATCAGGTCTCCATGATTAGGTCTTCACCAGCATTCTGATCAGGCTGTCAAAGAAAACCACCACCTAAAGGACGAGAAAACCCACGTTAAGCCATTTTGTGAGACTTGTTACAGCATAACCGTGCAGGGAAATGTGAATGCAGGAGAGTTTGTTATAACATGATTTAGGATGTACTTTTTGGCAAACACTCCAGCAAGGAAGCAAGATTTCTCTGAACACCAGAAACGCTGTTATACATTCATAATTTCATTGAGTGAGCTCGCCCCGTTTTCCACTTGGCAGCTTCGGGCGCAATATGAACGCTGATCTGATTACGAGACAACAGGAACGAAACATAAATAGCTGCAGAGACACCAGAAAAACAGAGCACAAGACACCACGACTATAAATGTGTGTCCTGTCATTAATATTTCACTGCATCACTGCTGCTAAAGGAGAACAAAGTGTAAAAAGGGAGAGCGATGAAAATTTGATTATATTTTGATAAAGCTTTGGAATTCATCTACGCAAACCAAAGAAGAAGTAAACATTCTGCTTGTTATGATAAAAAAAGTTGAGATTAATGCACCATAACAATGACTGCAGTAATGGCCAGCATGCGCACATATGATGCGTTTCCAGCAACGCTCCTCTTGCACTTCCATTTTATTTCACTTTCCTAGAAGGTGACTACCAAGGTCGCAGGGCTTCGGTTTCTCACTTGTCCCAAAAATTTGAACATTTTACATGACATGTCGCAGCTCTGCTTGCGGCGCCGCGGCCCAAGAGAGCTTACCAGATCACTCACATTTTGTCTGCAGTGAGCCTCCATGCATGAAACAAAAACAGAATTCTGCACTCAGGCTCCTGCTTTACTGTACATCAATTTGTATTCAGAGAGGGACCCTAAGCTTGTCACCTTTAGCTATTCATCCAGCCAATGAAGTATTTATGTCGGAAGCTTTCGCTTTTTGATACATCATCCCAATCCACTCCCAATTCTACTTTATTCCAGGCTAGGCTTATGTCAGAGGGAAAGAAATGAGCAAGATAAAACAAAAGTGTGGGTGTTGATGGTGCTCAAAAAGGTAGAGTTTCACCAGTGGTTCTTTGCTTTTATCTTTACTTCCAAGCAGCACATCATCACCTGGCCTAGAGTGAAAAGTCAGATTTTGGAACACGCTGGCCTCACTTTATCTCCTTCCTGTCTCCCTTTCACTGTGTAAAACATTCCACTTTCTTGCTCCATTTTCTTCTCACAACCACATTTGACCTCTGTCTTTCTTTTTCTCTCCAGGTATATGACGCAGAGCCACACAGTTTTGGCCAAAGGATGTACTCCATCGAGTCATTACCCATCGGTTCCTTCCTATGTGTTCAAGACAAAGACAGTTGTTAGGGAAACAGTCAGTCACTTGTGGTGTCAGCTGTTACACAGAATACTCAACATGACAACGAGACTGACTGAGACTTCAGTCTTTGGCTATATTCTGTCACTCACTCACACAGAGATGAAATGACGTGGGTGGTTTAAAAAAAGAAACTAATAAAAGGCCAGCTGGGTTAAAAAAATAATGAATGAACAAAAATTCTCCCAAAATAGTTTCAACCCTGAGTTGACCTTTGCAATCGACATACACTTACCAAAAATAAGCAATGATGACAAACTCTGGGTTGTGAACTTGCAGCAAAGGCATTAGCATTTTTATTATATACATATATTTATGAAACATGCAAAACAGATAAGTAAAGGGACACAAAGGCAAAAGGCAACATCCACACTAGAACAAAGGCCAGGAAGTAGTCTACATGATGCGTGGGTGTGAAGAACCGAGCAGTAAAAGGACAGTCAGGCACAGGTTTGGTTTAAAACAATTTTTTAACCCAAAACCCAAGTTTGGGGTAAATGATAAAAAGTTGACAAAAATAGGGCCCATAAAAAGAGGTCAAAATAACAATACTATACTCAGACTGAGAACACAAACAAAACAGACCTGCCTAAATGAGACAAAGGGGAACTCAAATACTGGCTGATCAGCCCACAAAACAAAAAACAGGAAAACACAACAAAAACCTAATTGAAACCACAAAGAACCCCTATTGCACAGAAAACACACTACTTGTACGGGTGATTAAACATGCACAAAAAATTAAGAAAGATAATTAACAGTAAAAGTTACGAAGTTAACTTTCTAAAGCTGCGAGAAGCCACCATCTTGAAATCGAAACTGGGGGGCAGTTTAATTTCTTCCACTATACCAGTGGAATATTACCACTGGAGGGGGCATTCCAGTTTAAATCTACCAATGAGAACAGGGAAATTACCACTTCCCAGGACTACTGGAGCACAGCATCAATTACAGTGCATTGTGTGAATGCAAATGTATTAGAATAAGTCATGGTTGTGACTTGAGTAGGAAGTGAAGGTCACAGTATACCCACTTCCAAAAACTAAACTACAGCACTGAGTAAAAGCATGTTTTTATAAGAGATCTAAAAACAGGAAGTGAGGGAGCCTGCCCGATGTAACGTGGCAAATCATTTGAGAATTTTGGACCATCAACAGAAAACGCTCTACCGCCTCTGAACTTCATCATTTGAGAGGAGATGTCACCTGTGTGCATGGCTCACAGTCTGTCACTCTTTATATGTTTATATTTCTGAAGTTTTTATTGGGTGCTACACTGACGAATGATCACCGAACACTTCATGGGGCTTTATCGGTCTGCTGGAATGCATCTGCAGCTCAATATAATTATAAGAGATGTGCAGGAAAATTTATTCTATTTACTGCTGATTTTTAAATGCATCACACATACTGTTTTACTCCTAGGAGAACTAGAATGTTTTGATAACCTACTTTGTGTAAGTCTAATTTCTGTATTTGTTCCTTGTTCTCGACACACACCGAAGTGTATGAACACGTCAATCTTTTTCAGATGCACGGAATTTTATCCTTATAAGCGCAAATAGTAGCATCAATCACCAACTGTATCACCTGTATATCCCATTTTTGCAGGTATAGTTGTGTAATGTGAAAAAAGACAGCAGGATAAAGATGTAGCCTTTGACTGAATTGCTACAAAGGTTTTGGAGTCAAGGTTGTTTTAGGACAGCCGCAATCCACTTTAATCTTGCTCAGACTCCCTGTTAGCTTGTCCGTGTTTGTCTGAGGTTGTTCAAAAATCTATCACAACAGGTAAGATATTAATTGTTCATAACCTTTCCACAGAGCTCTACTTCAAATGATCTCCACTATCACTTGAAAGTTTCTTTTATTTATCAATAATAGATCTAAGTGAATTGTTTTGTGATGGAGACACTAGCTTTTCTCGGTGCGCTTTCTCCCAGATAGCCAGAAAAAAAAAATAGACGATTTTTGAGCTCACAGCAGCAGGTAAGCCAGTACTAACAGAATTTAATAGAGCATAGCAGTTTGGGAAGTTCATTTCAACCCAATCATGTGTAGAGGCTTCTGTGTTTTTATTACAGGGTTTAATTATTTTTAAACTGTCTGACTGGGGCTGATGTTTTATTTTTTTTCCCCCGACCACAGAGCTCAGTTCTCTAACTACAGCGATCACAGCGCCGAGATAAAGACAAGCAATAAAGCAGGCGCAGCTGTAACATGCTTGTTAAAGGACAATCTCAATGTCATCACGGCTCGGGAGCGAGTGACACTCGTTCGGGAAATAGTGGCGCTGTTCAGAGGTTTTGAAGTGACCTGATAGCTGTCATAACTGTGAGGTTAAACTCATCCGCAGCAGATCCATGAAACCACCGAGCATTGGACCATTTCTGCTTCTTCTTTTTTTTTTTACTGACTAGTGGTTTTACTCCACGTGTCAGTTTGATTAATGGCTTGCTTCACACATTGGATCATGTGCACTATATGGCAAGGTATCAATCATAGCACTGTACACTTTCATGGATTTTCTACAGTGGAGTCGCCACAGTCAAAGACTAATTACATTTAACTAATAGGGGTTCATAAAAACCAATGCCCCGAAACCGTGAACATATTGGATAAATGTCACTAAGTGTAGACTTAATGTGTTTACATCCATTAGCTATATCCTGTTTATTCACTAGGTTGAAAATTCCCACTATAAACCGGGAATAAAACCACAAAAGGGAGGTGATTGTTACAGATGAGCAGTTGTTCATGTCTGATCTCCCATCCCACCAGCCAGGCCCAAATTAAGCCGAAGCCAAACAAGAGACAAAACCGTTTTTAAGGGAAATCGCTCGGAGGAGCCGTTTAATTGAGAAGCCGTCGTTTTATTAGCTTCTACAAACCTTTGCCAGCACAGGTCAAGCAAAAATGAATTGTTTGCATGTGTGTATTTCCAGACAAATCAATACTCATGAATGTGGTGATGGTGGAAGGCAAGGTTACGGAGAAATGGGAAGTAAAAGAGCAGGTGGAGATCACAAAAAGCCTAGTCTCAGTGATTATTAAAACTGTTTTCATTATGGTTAAACTCCACGGTGTAAAGATTCCAATGAGGGTCCATCCTTCTTGCCAGCAAAGGTCAAGCTACAGACTTAAACAATGCAATTATCTTCCTCCTATAAAAGGAAATTACCTTGGTTTTCCCACCTGAGCTGTGTACTCTTCCTTTTATTTGTTTGTATGACAATCAATGACAGGCAGAAAAATCTTTACCAAACTGAAGCACGAGCCTGCTGACTAGAGCCAACTTAATGTCTACAATGTAATAACAGAGAGAAATCATGCGGCAAAGTAAAAGTGACAAGCGCAGAATGTTATATATAACATTGAAAACAATCTGAAGTGTGCCTAAAGGAGAAGTTTTACTCTGAAATCTTGTGACAGGTGAACTGTTGCTTGAAGAGAACAGTCTACAGGAGAGTGAAACCAGAATCAGCTGCCCTTGGAGAGGAGACTGCACAATCAGACTGAAAAACACCTCGCTTTCAAAAAGTTTCTGATGTGTTCCTGCTCTAACTGTAATTCCTCCCTATTGTTTTTTTTTATTATTCTAGGCACTGCTTCAGCTAAACCTATACAAAAGTGGTCACAAAAGTAAAATGCCTAAACTGCATTTATAATGAACCTC